TTTTTGCAAGAGAATGATTAGCGATAATCAATTATTATCGCATAATTACACACGCTCTAATATAACGTTATACCATACTATCGATTTCCACAGCCGATTAGATTCGGCGATGAGGAAAGTAATTTTACCTATTTGATGCGTTGCATAAAACAATTTCTCAATAAATGCCAGAAATGCCCCATACGTTTTCTAACGGAATTATGATCTGTAAATGCCGCAAAAACTTCTTTCTTGTACAATAAATTATTTTACATAATCAATATTAGAAATATATACAATCATACAGTTATAACATTTCTGAGTATTAATAGACTTTTATAATTATTCATTTTTTTGTTATTAAAAATAACAATTTAATTTTTTACTAATTTAATTTTTTAACGTTGTAGAGTTTTTTTTACTGAGTATTCTGCATAAACGTTAATAATGTTACAATTTGATCTTAGCGTTGCGTTTGCTACTACAGTAAGTATTACACAGCATGCTACAGTAATATTTATTGCAGGTTATATCATCATATGTGTGTAAATGGAATGCGTTATGTCGATCATTTATTATAGCGGAACGCACGAGAGATACACATCAGAAATGTTATAAGCTTGCGGAAAAATGAGGTTTACTGATGAACAATGTTATTGCGGACTTATCTTCATTTATTTATCTGTACGATCTGAAAGTAAAATAAGTTGTACGCTATTAATAATTTATAAATGATAAAATAAAACCTTGTACACAATAAAATCAAAGTAGATAAACCTGCAAAACCGAAAAGAAAGAAAACTTTCCTTGTTTTTTCTTGTGAAAATAAAGAACGTAATATGTAATCGTGTAAATGTTCACATTGTCAAGTTATAAAAGTTACTCTTTAAAATTGCATATTTAAAAAAATTTTCTTAATTATTAAATATACGGTACTTTTTATCTTTCACAATTTGTTGCTATTTTCCTGGCAGGTTTTTTTTTTATTTTATTTGTGTCAGAAATTCATCACGATAAGTAATAGTTCTTATGCAGTAGATATATGAATTTTTCTCTTTTATGAACGTGACAGAGCGATTGGAAAATAAAAAATCTTATATCAATAGTTGTTATGTCATTCTTATACAGTGATAAGAATGCATACGATAAACTATAGCGCCACGAGAGGAAGTGCAAAGTATACGAATGCGACAACCTTCTCGGTATAACGTACCTCGGAATATACGCGAGAGTAACACGTGCATCGTGCCGGTGCTGCAAGTGTGACAGTGGGTCAAGTTCGCGGTGAATGGCCGGACTCCGGTGACTCTTGAGTCCGATTGTCGAGTCAGAAACGGTGTACCGCGATCTACCGATTATCCCTCCACTGCTATTCGCCTCTTAGTTTATCAGTATAAAAGTAAAGGGATGACAAAAAAATATTAACGGCATTTTTATATACGCGCTTGTCACTATTCGAGCTCTCACATGCTTCTGGGGGATTCCGTCACTCGTTTCAGGATTATATACCGCGCAACAGGACGAAGATAAGATACGAGATTGTACAAGAATATAATATAGATATAATATAACGATAGATATTGTTTAACATATCGAGATTTTTTTATCACAATTAAAATAAAATATTTTTGAGCATTATTAGAAACGTTTGAATTGAAATATTTTATATTTATGTGTTTTACATTTATTTATTAATTACTTTTGCTTTTTGTATGAATATTATCTATGTAGGTACTTATTTATGTTACTCATTTAGTTGAGATAATATTAGTTACGTCAGCATTAATTATTAATGATATTTTTATTAATATTAATTTAAATCTGAGAATATCTTGCTCAAGTTAAACGTATATCTACTTCAGGAACTTATCTTAAAATCATTTACGGTGAATCGATACGAATAAATAATAATAAGATCGCGTGTCTGCAATACAAAGGGCATTGTCTTGCATTGATTGCATTCCCATCGCTAGTGTTTCGCTATCTATTCGCCGTACCGTCGTACGATCGGAGTGGAAATGGCGCGACATCGTGAGAACGAGTACGAAGGAAGTATCGGTAAATTACAGCGCGATAAATCGTTGTAACGCGAGAAAGAGTGAAACTCCGAATTTAGTCAAACTCACAAGAAACGCAATGTGCTAAATGTTCTCAGAGCGCTTCTTGTTCGATTCAGCGAGTTTCAATCTGGCAATAATTATGTCTTCACGAAAATCTGGGGCAGTTCTTCTCTGATAAGACAAGTTGTGAATTTCTCAAATCCCATTGAGCGTAAATTAAGAGCCGGGAAAAGTAAAGTGAAATAATTATAATAGTCAAGAAAGGAAAAAAAGAATGAATTATTTATCTTTCACCTGATTTATTCTCGTCTATAATGGACTCGAGAACGCTCGAGAACGACATTATAACTCTCGTACCAAGATATATTTCATTACTCCTGTTGCAAAATTATACAAAGTAGCGGTGATGCAATCAAAAGTATTTTACATTAGCATAATTCACTCTATCAACCCCCGCTGACTGAACTCTTTTAAATCCGGCGACGACACGGCGAGAAATGTTTACCGCCGACGTTGATGTATCTTGTAGCAATGTGACTCACATCAAAAGTCAACGTGGTAATACCGGCGTATTGCAGAACGTTCACTGGAGAATCCATCATATATTTTTTAGCAATAAAAATGACGTTACATCCTGCGACACATAATATAATTTGTGGGTCGTGCACGTTTCCAAATTGACAATTCTATTATAGAAATTATAATAATGGTTGACATAACGACGGAAGTTTCACTCGATTGCGAACGTCGGATCGTGATGTTGTCGGTAATGTAACGCAAGCGACTCTCTTAGATACTGTTTCAAAATTTCCTTTCATCAGATCGGGTAATACCATCCTTCGTGCCGGAAGATGTTTGATCTTCGTGTACGTACATACTCTCAATTTCATCGTACGAGGTATAATTCGCCGCTCGACTACTTTCTATGTCCGGTAGAAGGCAAGAAACTCTGTTATTTTATCTCTGCTATTAATTTGTTGTTACATTTTTATTATCTCAAAAGATTATTCTATAAATAACATAAATTATTACAGTATTTGTCAAAATTTAGTTCTATTTCTTTTTATCTCAAATGTTTTATAAAGAACGTATTTTATATGAACATAATTGATATTGAACTTTTTATGGAAGTTGAAGACAAAGAATATCTCCCCGAAGTATTTGCATGAAGCGTGGCATTAATAAGTCTTCGACCGTTTAACCAGTTCCAGCTTTTATGGAAAGAGATAGGAATTATGAGGTGATTCGTGAGCCGCATTCTAAGATCTGCTCTTCACTGCGCGCTATTAAATTCAAATTAATTCGCGAAGAGTACAAGCGCATTTTCGCGATTATAAATCAGGCTTACGTTCGAGTGAAAGTACACTCTGATAATTTAGCATTCCGCGTGCATCGTATCGTTTTTCTAGATTTTCTCAGGGAGATAGAATCCACAAAAAGCCATTCGGGAATAATCAATTCCTCCCGCCGACATCCTTTTCTTTTTTGTTGTCCATCCAATGTGAGACTTTCGCGGAAGCATTGTGAGGAACGCGCGACGCTTGACGGAAATAATACCTCTTCTTAATTAACACCTCGTGACGCAGTGCAACAAGCTCTGCAGAAAGATCGAATTGCTTGAAATTAAGATTTCCAAGCACGCCGTTTTCTGAGCTTAGAGAGAAAGAGAAGAGAATGTGAGATGAAAGTAAAGTAGTACTAACAATATATATGTATCTCCATAATTACCATCTAATTTCATTATCTTTGCTGTGTATACCTCGTAAAAATATCCAAACAACTGTGTTTCCCGTTGCGATCGCGTTATGCACTTTCTTTTTCCTAGAGAAACGACCGAAATACAGCCGTTAAAAGAAACACAACCCGCTTTCTAGATCAAATACGCGAAGCGCACCGTCGATCGCGAATTCTCGTCGCGTTCACAATAGTTGAAAGCAAAAAAGAAACCAGACCTTATTGTTTTATTATTTAAAAAATAACGCTGTGAGATAAATGAAATTTATGGCCTCTAAATAACCCAAGCAGTCCTTGATTTGATGGCGAAACAATCTTAATAATAAAGCGCGATCGTAAAGTCGCAATGAGTCTTTCGAGCGATAATCTGAAAGGGAATTTTTGCTGCGACCCGAGAACGTCGGTTGCATAAAAATGCACGACGCAAGTGCTGATAGCGTTACGTATGCACGAGAAGCTAATTTCCCGGGCGACCGAGACATCAGTCTACCATCGAGGATGTCTCCGATACGGTGAAACGCAGGGCGCATCTCCGCGCGCGAAAGAGAGAAATTCCGTCAGCGTCAAATCCGATTTCCGACCCGATTTTCAGACCGGGGATGGTGCTTCTAGAACGTCGCTTAGCATGCGCTCGGTATAATGCAACCTCCGCTTTCTTCTTTCTTTCACCGAGAAAACCGGTGCTGCGCGACGACGAGGAATATTCTGTGGAATAGGAGGTCGGCCGCTTCGCGAACGCAGGCGATATTCGCGAGTTTAAGGTCAATCTCGAAAGCAACGAGCGATCGTACGCGGAGCCTTTCCATCTTGTTACACGATCAATTCCTTCTGTGCACCATGCGCGCACATCATTCCTTCACGCTAGACTTTTCCGCGAAGTGACTTCTCTGTGCATTTCTCTTTCCCGACCGAACAGAATTTCTGAAACTGCGAATTTTTCACCGCGCGATTTGCAAAAATTATATGTTAATAAAAAATTAAGAGCTATAAGTTTTATTTCCTGAATATTGAAAATTTGCGAAATCTGACATCCTGACAATTGCAGATATTAAATAAAGCTAGAAAAAGAAGCATTTTTAACTTTGCTCTTCGTATAATTTTAACTGAGCTTTACTCTTGCAAAATTTAATTGAATTTTTGCTTAAAAATCTTCTTTATGTAACTGTCTGGACTGTTCGACCATTCAAAATTTCCGATCACTAGTTCACTAGATTGCATCGTACTCACAGGGCGCCTTTAGTTTTTCCTTCGCCATCTGCATGCTGTCGTTGAATCTGAGAGTGACGCCGACGCTCTTGGATTTTCCGACAGAATTTTCCGTGACACCCGGTGGAGATATTATTGAGATACCGTTCTGTTCCATTTTTGATGCAATTAAAAGATCGCTGAAAGTAGAACATTGTGACGTTGTTATTTCTTGAATCTAATGTAGAGTATTTGCGTCTTGAGTTTATCTTATCTAAATTATGGCAATAAATAATGCAAAAATCATCCCTTGACTCCATAAGTCTCTTGTTTAAAAGAATTGCATGCAAAAAACGGTAAAAACAACAAACATAATGAGTGTCAGAAATAAGTACACTCTAGCGTTATCTTTTTATCACCATGCTACTGTTCCACGTATTGTGCAGACGACTGCTATCAATTCCCTGATAAATTTTTCGATATAATTATAGTTAACTCTGGCGAGAGACGCAATATCTCGCGACAGCTTAAAATTTTTGTAATATTCTGTAAATTTTTTCTCTAGTAAAAAATTTAAATATAACCTTCTTTTACAAAGTTTGTCAATTTCTGTTTATACTTCTCATAACTTGAAATACATACGAAATCGCAAAATCTATACGAATCGCAAGACAAAAAGCTCGAAGCTTGACGCGTGATTTTTTGTTGACAGACAAACGTGACATGCCTGCTGTTCTGCGGCGTGTTGAACAGAGACAATCGATAATAATGCAAATATCGTTATCTTGTTGAACTCAGTGCGGGAATTAGCTGGGAATTATATCGTCAAATTGAACAATTGAGTTCTATACTCGTACAAATAACAAACGTAAAGTGGGAAGCTAATTAAGTTCTTCTAAACTGTCAACTACTTTGACATTTCGCGCATAATTGTATAATCGCGCACGTGTATAATCACACATCTCGCGATTGTGGAAGCAATCACGTCTCGTTAATTAGATCCGTGATTTAACACGCGTATAGACTAATTAATCATGGATTGGTCGCGATTTTTGCGTCAAATGCATCGCTGCTTTACTAGCACTTTTTAAAGGAATGTATTCGCTACATTACTATGCACTATTTAAACTGCAAAAAAATGTTGCAAATTTTTTCAACACAAAGTTTTGCAGTAATAACGTAAAAACACTGGAAGCTACTAACTTATCTTGCTTAATCCTTTTTTATCCGCCTTTATCTCTTGATAACGATATAAGCTTAGTGCAAACTTTTCTTGTTTTATGAAACTTAATTATGATACTCGAAATGCATTTCCACAACGTTGCAATTTCAATAAGTCACAAATTCTAATCAGACAGATAACAATAAGTAAAGATTGTTAACTGTTAACTGATCTCATTTACTCCTTCTTCAAGGATTTCTTGATGACAAATCGATTTTCAGAAGCTATTCGATAAGCACTGATTTATACGACATAACATGACATAATTCACTTTTTTTCCTACCAAGCTTGTGCCGTTTAAATTTTTTGCGATTTTTGTAAAGTTGAAATACAATATGTTGGCTAGTAATAAAAAATAAGCTAATTAACTAATATCTTCAAACACATTTTTATTTTTATTTTTAATTATTAGAAATGTCAGCATGCTCAGACATGTCAGCTGCAGACATGTCAGCAGGCATTAAATAAAAAGAACCAAATTAAACTTATTGATCGTGTAGAAGAAAAAAAATTCAATGGCCTTTTGTGCTACTTACCCTGAAGAAGAAGCGTCCGCAGCTACGATGTGTTGCTCAAATTTCACACAACTCGCTCAAAAGTCTATTCTTGCCTTTGTATTTTTGCTTCAATTCCGTTTGTTAAAAATTCGAGATTCGTGAAAATCATCAGCACATTGAGAGAAAAAAATCAAACCCGCGATTAGTGATGTTTATTCGCGGTTGTCTTATTGCTGCTGGTTTCGAAGAGACTGAATCGCAAGTCGCGCTCACCTCTATATGTAGAAACCCTCCACGCTGCCAACGGTCGTCGCGGCCGTCACTCTCCCGTTACACGACAGTTCCGTGTACATGGCCATGCCATACACGAAAGATGTGTAGTACTTGCCAAATAATCGAGACGTCACACGCACGCCCGCAAGTTTGTGTATGCTTCCGCATTGGAAACAATGACTATCATATACGTTGTTGTTGACCACTTCACGATATCCTATACATATTGTTACAATGTGATTACTTCACGATATTCTATACGTAAAATTTGCTGCTTGACGAATTCAAGATGCACTTTGATATCCTCGCTGCAAATTGAATGGATTTTTCACTATTCGAAGTAAAGAACAAAAAAGAGATCGTTTAGTTATACATACATAATTGCAATTATGTAAAAGGATCTTAAATTCTAGGTAATAGACATTAACGGAATCTTAGCATTAAAACTTAAAATATTTATCCAATAATATAATTATTTCTTTTGTAAATCTTGTAAAAATTTTAAAAATTGCAAAAAAAATGCATAATAAATTTGATTGAATTGTTATTTTAATTTTTGATGTAATGTTTTTATATTTTTCTGATAAATTTTGATGAAAAATATAAGTAGCAAATGTTTTGTACATAAGATTGAAGTGTGTTGCCAAGAAATTATCTCGTCAGAATTTTTTATGGCAAGTATCATATCATCAAGTCATCAGCTTTGAATGATACGTTACGTTTTATAAATTCTATAGTAATTACTTTGCCAAAAAAATTGTAGTTGTACTTGTATTTTAATATGTTTATGAGTATTTAATTTTATCTTTTGTTGTCTTTTTAATTTCACACAAATTGCTTTTTATAGAAAAATTGAGAATACTTATTTATTTTTATAATTTACTTTTATGTATAAAATTTTGAAATTATTATGAATAGTATTGAATATTCAAATTCTGATTTTATATTCTGGGTTTTTTCATATTTGATTAATATTTAGCACTTATTTGAAAATAGCTTCGAAATATATCACTATTCACTCATGAGTGCCAAAAGTAATATAAGATTATTTTAGTTTGTTTACTCTATCTCGTTGCTAACTCAATTATTGAATAACTGAATAACAGATATTTGACGAACTGTGATTCTTAAATCGAACTGTTATCTAGTGATAATGAAAATATTTTGTGATAATGAAAATATTTTGTTATCGCTGCTTCGCATCAATTAAACAAGTAATTGAATAGTGATTTGTTTTATCATTAGCGATAAAATCATTATGTTCGATAATGTCGAACAACAGATAAATTATTACGATCAAGGTATGTTACACATATAATGTACTTTACTATTACTTCAACTTATCGCAAAATGCATTAAAGATTATAATGATATATAAATCTACGATTTCTCACATTATATAATAAACATTTAGACAGATCTATCAAATAATCAAGTGCTCGTATCGCAAAAATGTGATCTACTTGAAACGATGACGCACTTAACACTATTGCGTATAAAATATTAGACACGATAACATATAATGTGTTTCTCGGACATTGCTCGTTTTTATGTATTGATATTTCTTATACTTACGTTTGTTATCTGCGACATAATAATTGCAATTTTTAACATTTTGAGAGATTGGTAGCTGAATTAACCATATGGACAAAGAGATAGATTTAAACGTATGAGCATATGGTTCAAATTATTCATATTTGCGATAAAACTGAATAAACATTCACTGTTTTGGCGAATATTATTCGAGATTTGGAATTGCGACTTTTGCAGAAAAAAAACAAATTTCAAAAATTGATAAAATCGTTTTGTTTGTTCTATGTGTCTTGCATTAATTTTAATACAAGTTAAACATATGCACATCTAATATTCGCTCCCTCTGTGAGTTGAGTAGAATAAGCCCACAGTATTCCCTGCTTGTCGTAAGAGGCGATTAAAAGGGATTTGGCAGGAGGCTAACACAATTTTCTCCTGTAAAAAATAAAGTCGGATGGATACTTAAAATATAACCCTGCAAAAGAAAAACCAAGGCATTGAACAGGGACGGAAGTCTGGAGGGAACTTCTCAAGAAGGCTATATCGGCCTATCGTGTCAGTAATGATGATGATGATGATAATTAATATTCTCCATTCATCAAAATCTTATAATTATTTTGAGTATATATAATATATATTTGTTTAATTATTTATTTTAGAATTTGTGTAGGTCAATTTTTATTACTTTATCAATTTAATTATCATTTTTCTTTATTTAATTGTGCTATATGTTATTATATTTTCTCTTACCTTGTTAAAAAATTTCTTGCTTTCTGCAAGATTACAACTCTAATAGTTTCACTGGCCGCTTTACTGCAAAGAAATCGGTGAGATTTCTCGCAGATATACAATAATATTAGGTAATCGAATCAACGAATACCAAGAGCTACTTTGTCATTAACAAAACCACATTTTGCACAATATTGTCGTTCCTGACGCAGGTCGATGACTCTGCTGGCATTTATTTGGACGCTGAAAGACAGAGGTATCATTTCTCTCTTCTACAAAGTGAAAACTTAGAAGATATTACGTGATTATGATTATCCACTATTAAATCTAATTAACTATACTTAAACACTAATTATAATTACGAAATTAATTAATTTTTTGTATTCTACAATTCTGCATCTTTTATTTGTTAAGTACTCATAATTTCACATTGTTTCATATTCTTTGCGAATAACCTATATATTTCTGTATATATAAAGAATGGTTCCAGTGACATTTTGTTCAGTGATGATAGACAAGTAAGTGATAGAGTGTTTATAGGGCTATCGCGATAAATTGGATATTATCGAACTTATTCGACCGCAATTGTCGTTAACTGTCACTAAGTGGTTACACCAGAAAGGACGACGACAGATCGGAGTCTTTAACGTCACGGTCCATTTACCGCGTTAGAAAACCAGAAGCAAACTGGTTCACTGTCACGCGACTATATTATCGAGGAAAGGAAATACCTGCATGAGAGGAATCACGAGAACCGGATTGCTATCAAAAACATAAAAGACAAGCACAGGTGTGAAGATATAAAAAAAAGTGCTCGAGCTCGGCAAGTTCATGTGATATGGTGTGAATAAAAGGAATTTTTTCAATTAATATAAAACGGCAAAACTATATTAATAAAAATTAATACAAGAGAGAATAAAATAATAAAATCAAAATATCAACAAAAAGTATAGAAATAAAAAAAGAGATGAAACTGACGAGCTCGGATTTTAACGATAGGATCTATCTCGGTGAATCCGAAAGCGGCTGAGAGTTTATGGCACTAGTAATCATTTTCGTGATTACTAGTTAAGTACTCTCTGTGTGCTCTCTCAGCTGAACGAAAAGCAAAAATAACACTTTCGACTTTTCTCCTTCTATCATCCAGGATGACATCTAGGAACAGTAATACGTTATCATTAATTCCCGAGTGCATCTTACTTTCGACAAATCTTTGTATAGATTGTGCCTGGCTGTACAGTGTAACGTATTCCGCATGTGCGCCAATTGATCAGTCCGCAAGTGATCGATAGATACGCTCGTCGACCGATTCTTCTTGCCGAGGTAAAAGGGAAAAATCGCGTGATCGATGGACGCTAAAAATATAAACCTTCGAAATGATATCGTGGGATGGAAGGATAAGCGCACGCCGAGCTATAGATATCGCGCTCGCACGAATGGATTTGCGGTGAAAGAGAGGAGGTGGATAAATAATGCGTCCACCGTAATCGCGGCGCGTTCCTTCTTGGCTCCGAGAAAGGAACAGTAGGTCACCCGGTGTGACAGAATACGCGGAGAGACCCGATGTTTCTTTCTCGGGATTAGAGACGAATGGCTGCCCTGACCTCCTCCACTTGTGTGACAATCTACTGCATCGTGAGCGGTTGATTTTTTTAACACGGTTAGAAATATCGGTGCGACATTAATATCGCAATGGATAATTTTGATATTGTATACCTACATAATTAGAAAGTCAAATATATTAAGCTAAATTAATTACCACGTTAATTTTGAAGTAGAATACTAAATAATACAAATACTAAATAATACAAATAAAATAATATATTTATTAACGGTTTAATTAAATAACAACAAAAGAAAATTAGTTAAATATAAATGAAACATTGTAGTTAATAATGCTTACGATTAAAAATATTTTATTATTCTGATTTTATAAAAGTTTTATTTATATAAAAAAAAGTATTATATAAAATTGAAGCTATTTATAACTGTGTTGGAAAAATATGGAATATATATTTAAAATGCTACGTCGTAAAACTGCAAAGTTATTGTCCCTAGAAGTTTACCGTAGTTGGTTCAGCGTGCAGGAATCCAAAATTAACTTAAAGTGATAGAACACGTCTTCGATTAGCGTTTACTACGTCACATCGCGTCATAACACATTATTATCACAAGCAATGCTAACAAGCTATAAAAATTGGTATCAACACATATTGAATCAATTTATGTGCGTTTGCGATCGTTTATCTTCTCTTTTTATCATGCTGCGAAATCAGAATCCAATCGCAAATTCAATTTCGATTAAATTACATCGTAAAAAAGATTTACGTAAAATTACAAATAGTGAATAATTTGAAAACCAACTTTTATAGGTGCAAATTTTCATACGTATATAAATTGACAGCTTGCAAATAAAATTCTAGTGATTGCACAAGGTGCAAAGATTCACAGTTTCAGATTCACAGTTATTTTATTATATATATTTGAAATTAGAATCTGTTCTGTGTGTGAAAGTATTGAATTTTTTTAAAACATAACATAGAATTTAGTTGATCTTTTCTTTTTTGAATTTATTTTTGTACATGTAGAATATCTCAAGAAAAACAAAATATATGGTTGCATCTTTTTGTCGATCATGCGAAGAGACAGTCGTACCTTTTTCGGGGTCTCCATCTCTTTTCTCATAGCTGCAATTTTATCTCGCAATTTTCTTTGCCGCAGCTATCGGATCGGAGACTGATTGACAAAAAACTTTCGATCATTGCACTTTGCGCTGCAATTGCGCCATGCAATTGCCCGCGAGTGGAATGGGTGAATAGAACGTGGCTTATGGCATTTTGATGATCGGACGAAGATAATTCGCGAACAAAACACGCCTGTGCCAATAATTTCTGTGAAGTTTCGGTTTTTATGCTAAAATTGTACGCTAAAACGACCGATTGCGAAGCCACAGCTTGATGCTAAATCTGACTACTTAACTGTTATCTGATATCGATACAGAGACTATCTTTGAAGTACTTGCATCCAGATGCACTAAACCCTGTTTTCAGGGCTCTTTATAATATATTTTTAAAATATGAAATTAAAAAATGCACAACTTGAATAGGAAACTAAATCCCTGCTAGCAATCGTCTTTAACTATCGATGCTTATATTCAAGTCATCACGGATATGCATGATGTCGCAGTTGCAAATTCATAGCAAAAAGCGAAGGTCACATACTGAAATAGGCCATTGAAAAATAAAAGAAATCTTTGGTAGAGTAGTTGAAGAGATAATCTGTCTTCTAGGACCTTAATAAACCAGACTTGACGTGATAATCATGTGAGATCTGCGCATTTAATTGCTCGGCACGTTAAGCGATTTCGTCAGAAATGTTCACAATTCCACAGCACGCACAATTAATTTCGTCCAATGTAGAAATTAATTGTGCATGCCGTGGAATTGTGAGCATTTCTGAAAAAAAAACATCTGCACGGTAATCACAGGTACTAATACTATCGTGCGAATTAAAAATACTACAGGAAGTGCGCCGTAATGTTAAAAGAATGTATTTCGTTTCTTGCAAGGAAGGCAATGTATTTGCAATGTTATAGCAACGTATTTAATACACATAGAATAGCATGACACTTGATTTCTTTACAATATCTTATTTTTGTGGCAAGACGGTTGCGTTAGCATAGTGAGAGTAAGATACGATAAGAAATGGCCCTAAGGAAAATACTGACGCAAAAGCGATAATATCGATGTAGCGATATAATAAAATCGAATATATGTCGAATCGTCAGCGATTTCTGAATAGAATGATGCGTGCTGTAATTCTGATTTATCTACTATCTAACGTTTATTTTTAAAGAAAATTTCTTGAACAGAATTTTATATATATACGATATCAGTCAGTGATTTTGGATGCTGCTATAAACCTATCGTGTTGCAAAGCTGATTCTCATTTTACAGGAAATGTTCCTTTTCTTATATAATAACCGTAATTTTTACACGTGATTTTAATCACATTCAAACACTGTGATGTGTTCAAACATTGTGATGAGAAATTTATATAACGATTTTCCCAATTATGCAGTGAACTCGATTGTTCCCATGATTGTTCGCCACTCTTCGTTATTTCTGTTATCTTCCGCTTTAAACAAGTGTCGTACGACGTTAATTAATTCTGTTTCAGTGTAACATGCAATTATTTCAGCAAAATTTGCTCGAAGAAAAATTTAGTTAGCAACGTGACAAATGCTTTCTTCACAAAATGTAAGCAAAATGATACCAGAGAAACATTAACTGTAATGACATACTGAATTTGTTTATCTTTGATTTCTCTTATGCGCACGAAATCATTAAGGTCGCAGGAAATCGGTAATGGCAGAGAACAAAAATTACATCTAACTGATTGTTAAATTACAGTGTTCAGAATTGTTTCCGATCGCCATATATTCGTGTTGAATCATCTCAATAGAACTTTTTTTCATCCATCGCCGTTCTTCGAGCCGACTACTTTAACAACGAAGATGTCTCTTTCAATTTTTGTAGTCTTAAAACGAGATTTACTATGAAAGATTTACTATGAAAGTTAAATAAAATATATATTATATTTTGATATGTTTAATAACTTATTTTGATTATATTATATAAAAAGAGCAATATTTTGTGTAAGATGAAAATGAACTTTACGACGCGATGAGTTTATTGCAACATTGAAGATCACTGTTATTGGATAAAACTCTGACAAAAAATGTTTCTCTTTCTTAGGAAATGTTTTATCGAGGTGTAGTAGTTTCTTTTTCACGGTGCTAAAAGCTATATCCTCTCGTTGAAATACATTCCCTCTGCAGAAAATATTTACGTTGTCTCCTTTTTTTTCTAAAAAACAAGTATTTTTACTGAAAAATATACTCTTATTTGTTGTTCTCTCCAACTGAAGCTTGAACGTGAAAAGCTCGGAAAGCGCGAACACGCGTAATCGAGTTTTTCAACATGTCAAAATATGAAGATATATGAAAATTTACTGCAGAAATACTAACGAATAAATTTTTCACGAATTAATTAGAATATATTTTTTTAATATTTAACAATCAAAAAAACATTTAAATTGTATTTTATTTGTGCTAATTTTTGCGATGATCAGTGGACAATTGTAAAATTTTGTTTTTTTTAAATTGGTTTTATTATGTAGAAAAAATTTTGTGAATTTTAAACAGGGAACTAATATATATATATATATATTCTTGAAAACTTTAACTCTGTTGCCTCAATTTGGCCCTCGATTGTAGGCGAACGAATATACTGATTATCGGGTTTTCTTTATGTTACTCATTCCATTTCGCAATAGGGCAGGTTGTTCAAGCTAAATAAATGCGACAGTGGAATGGGAGTAATTGGAATTCTTTCGGTTAGAGGCAGCAAAACGCGCCCGGCTGTTCCTCGAGAATACTCGACGATGCGACCCAGATCTCCGCGGAAAATGAGAGGAAAGAAATGCAAGACGAGGCGTACTTACCATAATCGGACAAAATGTAATCGAGAGACGCGAAGTCCACTGAAAAGAAATCTAATGCGATTGTTCGTGATGACATGTTTGATGTTACGCACAGTTGTGAATATCGTCCGCGGAAAGGATCAAACTTTTGAGTACACTCGTGAGATTTGATAATAGTTGAACAAATCCTCTTCATACGACAAAGCGGAAAACCTTTGCAAAAAATGTGCAAGATATTTGTTATTCAAACAGGAGACTGTTATCAGTCTCCGATCATCGAGACCTTCCAGGAGTCCTCTCGAAGCCTTGAAGAAACTCGCTGCTTCGCCGTATATCCTCGCCTCGTTGCTTTCTTTGTTTGTCAGAAAGGAGATCCGAGGAGATGCAATCTTTTCCTTGACTTTCGCCTTTGATGCACGGCGCGCTTTTTGCAGAACAACCATCCACATTATTGACGTGGCCTTGATCCATCTCGCTAAATACGATCCACTTTTGAATTATCTCCAATGTTCTTCAATATAAAATTACACGCTTACCGAACAGATTCGCGTACAATTCGTGAAAAGTGCATATTAATAATCGAATTAATTTGATTTCTGATATTACCGGATGTGATTTGCATCTCGAGACGCACAACGACGATTAGCGCGCACGTTCTATCGCACTTTCTGCGATTGAGAAAGTACGCGCGTTTATGCAGGATTCACTCGAGTGTTCATTGAGAAAGATAACGTTAGACAAACTTTTTAATATCTTCTCTTTGTTGTATACTGAAATATCTCTTTGTGTATTGAAATGTACAAAGAGAGTTGGACTACATAAATCAAAGCATTCTCGTCGGGGATTGAAATTGCTATAATCTCGATAAGTTGTATTCTTGATGCTGTAAATGCGAAAAATGCAAATTTTATTTATTTTTAATTTTATCAACACAAATAATAGATAAAATCAAGAAGCATCAAAATTATATATTTTTATTTAGTTTCTCTTTCTTATATAATTCACATTTTGTTCATAATTTTCCATTTTATATTTATTTTTAAATTTGACATCTAGAAGAGAGTTTTCTGTTGATTTTTCTTCATTTTTCACGTATCTTGACATTTCACAAATATACGCAAAAATACGACTTGATTCCGGGCTCGGCACTCTTCTGCATGATTCTTGACAATGTCTTCGTTAGCAAGGACCGTCGTGCTTGTAAGCAATAACTGCAAAAGCGAACGCCTCGTTATACGACTTGAAGGCTTAATCGGCTATCGATCGAGAAACGCTTTTACCTTAGCAACGAACAGTATTCTCTTGTGTTCTCTACACCGTCGCGTTTCAATACTCAAGAATACGCGAGATATAAATCTTAATTAAGTCAATTATCATCAGAAAGATCACATATAAATATCGCGATTTCTGCTTGCGGCATAATTCCGCGTCAACACGATTTATCGCGTGAAATCGCCTCTTTCACTATCTCAACGCGCGAAGAATGGCGCTGAGATATTTTCACGACTTTAACAAGATATACGTAAGAGTTCCGAAAATTGCCGTGAAATTACGTTTTTCCTGTTGTGACGAAAATCTACGTATCTTTCTCGAGACAAAACCGAAACTTCCACTACGTGAAGCGCGCGTAATTTTACGCGACGTAGGCAAGTTAATGAGCGAGGAGTTCTGCTGCGAACCGAGTGAAAATGTCTTCGCGCGAACGCGCGAACATTACGAGAGGGAGAGAATTTGTCTGGAATTTATAGGTGCACTATGATCTATGGATCTTACATTTTTGCGGGCTGCGCGATTTAGCGCACCAAAGCGCCTCTGGGCTCACGTAAGACTTGCCGTCGGTGCCGCACACGGGTTGTCTATGATCCTCTTCCGGTATCGACCCGCAAGGGTGGTCATCCGGTCCGGAACACCGACCGTGATGTTTTAGAAACACATCTGCGAACGAAAGAAATATGTTATCGCCGATGCGCTTGCAATCCGAATTCGTGTTCTTGGACCAATTTCAAGACAAAATTGTTTCTCGAAATTAGCGACATTTTTAAAGTAAACGTTTTTAAGTAAAAGTTTTGATATTTTGATAGTTAAGTGCCATCGATAAAAATTCCCTTGAGATGAAATCTGTACAGAATAAAATGGAGATTAATGTTTTGTTACGTAATTAAACTATCAAATTTTCAATCGTTTTCTATTTTTGTATAAAACTAAAATTTTGTATTTGGTAAAATCGTTGAAAAATTGATATCAAAAAATGGAAAACGTAAATCTTGAAATATTGCAAACTTTGCAATGAATAATTCTTTCTATAATTTAATGCATAAAAGTCATAAAAATTGTTATTATTTTGTATGAAAATTTTATTAAAATGTGAACTTTTTATTTTTTAAGTGTTACAAATATTTTGAAATTAAAACAAGAAATGCTTATCAATGGTGTATAAATGATTAAATATTATGCGTTTAGTGCATTTTAGTTTGTGAAATAATTTTCATAATCTCCGCGACGTAGAACTTACATTTATTGAAACGAGTTTGGCATTGCAAGTGATGTATACTTGGATACGTGCGGCCGTCATTTCCACAAACTGCGTCGTTCACGGTGAAGGAATTGTTTACATATTGACCATTTGGCAAAATCGTGGTATTCTTATGTGCCTTCTGGCAAGCATTATGACTATGCGTGTTGCATTCTCCGTGAAATCTCACTTTTAAATCTAATTGAGCAATAAGATGCAGTCATAAAATTTCAGCTATTATTTTAAGTAAAAACATCGATCAATTATATATGCTATACAATACGCCAACGAACAATTCTTACATATTTTGTCTTTGTATTTTTTGATGAATTTTAAGACAAAATTTTTTATACTTGATGTAATAAAATTATTGCATACGTGAATGGTAACAGAGAAGCACGAATGGATTTGAATACGTGACTCCGTCCGATGCGCAGACTGGATTCCACTCGTATTTCGTTCTCGCGATGTCACAAACGGCTGCACCGTAAAGTTGGTGAACGAATTCCACGCGGCAACCGCCATCGTGAATAATTTGTAATCCTACAAAAAGTAAAAAGAATCGTATTCTAAAATTAATCAAATATAATAAAATACGACATATAGTTTTTCAACAATTTGCATAAAAGTCTTATCTTTGTTAACAAATAGTTATTACTTCTTACAAATTCATTATTAATCTTAATTTTATTTAAAATGTAATTCTTTTAGTTTTATTTATTACCTTTAATTTTAATAATTTTCATATTTTATAAAATTTTGTCATAATTATGCTTGCTTGTGATAATTCCGACATGACAAATCGTATCATACATTTTATTATATTCGCGCTGTGTATTAATAGAACGGATAGTAATTCGCATTTAAATCTGCATTGTCTATGCGAGACTAAACGCAGCAAAGAGGCAACCGAGGCTTATCCTAGCTAAACGTTTAGTTTAGAGCGGAACTTTCCAAATTAATTTGGCACTGACACGTCGCGAAAGTTAAGAGAGCGCGGAGATTCCGGAGGAGTTTGTACGATATTTTCAAACTACTTACCGGCAATTAGGCGAATCATAATTAAACGCTTTTACGTAACTTTTGTCATAATCCCTTACCGGGGTTGTATCGTTGCAGACACTTGATCTGCGCCGCGTTCTGATAAGTGAACCCATTATTAGCGCAGACCGGATTGATCCCGTAGTGTTCGGTACCGTCTCTGTAACAGTGATCGTTCTGCTGGCACGCTGTCATCGATACGGCTCTCAAATCTAAAACAGGTCAGAAAAATAAATTTACAATGCAAATTTCTTTATTTATGCAGCGATTGAATAAAAAATATGATCGACAAAATTGTATCAGTACACTCGTATTGATTCTTCTGGATCTGAAAATTAAAAATTCCTACATTATAAAATCAGAGAAAATGTCTCTCTTGACAAGTAGAAGAGTTTTAAAAACTTATAAATTTTTTAATATAAAAAAGTTAAAATTGCATCAAGAATAACACGCACACAGATTGAGATTAATTTACTTGAGCTGTAATTGCGGTCTCCTGGGTAATGTGAATCTTTGCAGCCGAAACGCATACTCGGTTACATATATCGAACTTTCGTCAACTTTAATTTGCATTAACAAAGAATAGTAAATGTATACATAAAAGTTGAAGAAGACAAAACGGTAAATATCGTTGATCACTTACCGCCCGAATGTTTGTGTAGAACGCATAAAAACGATTCCTTATTAGTGTAAATTTTACGATCCGAGCCGCAAACTGGTTCATAATATAGATTAATTTTGCAGTATTCTTCGTTGCTCAAGCAGGGACCGGAATGCAACGTAGCAACTAAAAAATTTTATTTAAATCGTGAAATTGGATAAACTTTTACATTAAAATTTTCTATTTATGAATATATGTATATATAATATATGAATATTTATGAATAAATTTTTTATAGAGTTTTATATATGTATAATATATGTTATATATTTCTAAAGCGTGGCTTATTAGTAATTTATTAACATGACAAATGTTTGCATTATTTTGACAATTGTTATTGCATTATTATCAATTACAATTAATAATAGCTAATATTTATTTCTGAATTTATAAAAATGTCCACAATTTTTTTGGTGATACAAATATCTTTTTTGATATATTGTCGTTAGTTTTTATTAATTGCAGAATAAGAAATTAACTCACCAGTGTTGCTATTATGATGGTTTTTACAATCAAGATATAAACTATTAGCATATGTCACACCATCGTCACCGCATATAGGACCTTTGTATAAATCCGAATTATTAAAAATCGTGCAATTTTCATACAGAGCCACCTTATTATGCAAGGTAATTGCTAGTCCCACTTTATTACACATACTGATTCCTGTAAAATTACAAAACCTTTTATTTCTCCATTACGATTTTCTACGAGTATATTTAATTGAAACTTTTGTTTATAGAATTAAAATTTATAAGAGATATTAATAAAGCTCAAATTGACCTAATAGAAAAAAGACGCAATGTCCAATTAGGAACGACATTATTAAATTTTAGAATATAGTTTCAACTGCGGAAGAATTCGTTACAACTGCGTCCGATTCTGCATCCGCGCTGCTTTTCTTTCTTTCCGATTCGAAATTATTCTGCATTCCTCACGTTGTGATTATCACGGAAATTCCACTTTGAATACGTGTCACTGCAATGACGTGTAACGAAATCAATTGCAACAATGCGAGCACGCAGCAAACGTCATTATTGATTTCTGTCCACTAATTTGTTTCACCAGATTAAACGTGATCTATCAATATATTAAAGTTCTGTCGCAAACACGTATGTAAAACATACATGTTTTATATAATACATTTTGTTATCAACAAATTAATTAATATTATTTAAAAAGAAATATAGTAATAAAATTAATTAAACTATTTGGACAATAAACTCATTTATCTGAAATAATTTATTATGATTAATAGTAATAATATAATTATAATAAAAGTAATAACAATATTTATTTTAATTATATCTTTCTTATTTTATATAGAATGACAAAAAAAACAACAATATATGAATATAAATAAATAGACATTAAATGACAAAAAATAAATATGATTTTTATAATAGAAAAAGTTATTTATTTCTATCGTTTAAAAGAACCGCTTGTGAAGAAATTTGCATTATCAATATAGGAGATAGAAGCATGCGACATTATCTACCAAGTAAGTATATAATCCTAACCAAATTTATCTTTTCTTTTTGATACCAATATATTCATTCATAATTTAAGTCTTGATCGAGTATTAAATGTTTTTCGAGTATATTCAACATTTGCTGTGAATATTCTAAAATAGCTTGAAAAATTTTTCTATGATAAAATTCAATGAATAATGTCATTCGCAGCTTGCCAGACGCCATCTTTTCATTCGGCATCGGCCACGTCCTAACTTCATGGCAGGTCTTGCTTATTTAGATCTGTTAATGCAGTGTCAATAATTTCGTGGTAACAGTATTCGGATACAGTGGATAATTGTGAAACAGTAACAACATGGTACGTAGAGAAAGCTAGTTAATCGATCTTTGTGAAACAATTTGTAACAATGCTGTTAGCAGAACACCTGTGCATTTATTGTATTGACATTTGCTCCTTATGTACGATCAATTTTATCATGTCAAAACATCTACCCCCATAATGATGAAAAACCTAGTCGCATAGCGTAATGACTTTTTTCAATCAAGATGTGTTTCGTTTTTTATATACTATGTAATCACAATCACGATAAATTTGATTAATACAAATCTTGTACTATTTGCATTTGTTATATTTACAATAAAAGTTATTGAAATAATAATTTTGGTGGTACAGGAAATGAGAGAAGCAATGACAATTTCGCACGATATTCTAATATAAGGATTTTTCTTTTCAGCCTTTGAGGTTAGATATCAAGCGGAAGCTAACAGCTAGATCAGACAGAGTGAAAAGTGTAGATCTTCATCCAACATTACCATGGATGTTATGTTCTTTATACCAAGGCAACGTCAATATTTGGAATCATGAAACACAAACGTTGGTCAAGACATTTGAAGTATGTGATCTGCCCGTAAGAACAGCGAAGTTTGTACCACGCAAAAACTGGGTGATCACTGGTTCTGATGACATGCAAATTAGAGTATTTAACTACAATACTTCGGAACGCGTTCATGCCTATGAAGCACACAGTGATTATGTCAGATGTATAGCGGTGCATCCAACACAACCATTCATACTTACCAGCAGTGGTATGAGAATATTAACTAACATACTTTAATTTGTATAACATAAGCTGTTTGTATTATAACATTAACTGTTTTTTACAGA